CCACATATCCAGAAAATATTAATTGTGACGTCATTTGATTTCCGGCATAAGGATCACTAGGTAAAAATTCAGTGCTTCATTTAGTGTTCCTAAATTGAATTTAATTCCTGCTGGTGATCATCACACTCTTCTTTACATAAATCTCACATAACATAAAGTAGCAGACGCATAAGCTCATACTTCAGGGTTTTAACGCAATAAGTTCTAGATTATGGGTGATTTTATCATTATAGTCATATCCACAGGGTGTCCATAAAGGTATGACCCAAAAATAATCTCTCATAATTCAGAAGCAAAATACTTTACTGCCATGAAACCCATCACACATGAACTCACTACCTATATATATTTTTGTGGTAAGGTCTTTTTCATGAATATCCATGTCAGTCCTCCACGCGTCTACCGTCTCGCTGGCGACACAATTCCTAGCGGTACGAGGGTGCAGTCTTTTCTATGATTGAACCCTCTCCTCCGAACCGGGGGGGGGGGGGGGGGGATTCCCTGGCTAAGAAACTCTCCAAATCTCACAACTATGAACTTCTTCGTCTGTGGTGAATGGCAAAGAAAAGGTCTATGCCTAGAGACTGCATGCCGTGACAGACAAGGAATTACATACAGGAAGCATTCACCAGCATCACGCAGGAAATGTTAGCGAATACGTGAGTGGCAATCTCGTACAGCTGAAAATTATGTCGTCAGCGAGACAGTGAAAATGTGGAGAACTGATATGGAATTTCTGACAAAGACCTTACCACAAAAACGTACAGATAGGGAATTCATGCATGGAGGAATTCATGGCATAATCACGGCACTTCATAAAGTACTTCGCTACTAAGCTATTAGATATTATTTTTTAGTTATACCTTAATGGACACCTTGTATAATAGGGCACAAGGACTCTAAGGAAGTCCCCTTTTCAAACTCTTCTAAAGGCTACATGCAGTTGTCCATGAAAAATCACGTAATTCCGTATATGCAGCAAAATCTTCTTACCCGTTTCCCTGCGAGAAAATAAATGTAACCCATTTGCATCTGCAAGCGTACCAGTACGCGTCAACCCATGTCGTTTCCTTCACCTATGACCCAGAAAGGCATAGGCGGAAAGGCCTCGCGCCTCAGGCTAAGGCAGTAGGATTCTCGATCAGATAGGCCGATAAGTTCCTGAATGCGAATGGGTTGGTCAAGATTGGTGTAGGCCTCAGCGTCTGTCCGAGGGTTGGATATAGGCCCGCTAAATCATTCCCCTCACTGCACGTATCTCAATGTCGAACTTCATCTGTAGTTTGCAATCCAACAGCTATTTAGGCCAACGAAATCAGTCCCCCATCCCCCGAAATGTACCCCCAAGGCATATACCTCCAAAATCGGACATTCGAAGTCGGATTTCCTCTGGCGTTGGCAACCTAGCAGCTATTCAATTTCCTTCCGTTTCGTTGAAGGAAGTGCGTGTATGAGAATGGCATAGGCTTATCTGTCTGTGGGTTAGGCCTAGGCTTACAAAATCAGTCCCCCCCCTAAATGGGCCTCCAGGGCTTGCACCCCCAAAGTTGGAAATTTTCTGGAGTCAGCAATCTTACAGCTATTCGTGTACCAAGATTCAGCCTCTTATCATTTTTAGGACATGGTTAGAATTAACGTCAGTCAGTCACTCGCCATCGTGCATATACTGTACTAGTATATTAAATATATGACGTTATTTTCAGCAGAGCTTCATAGGCCTAACATGAATTCACAACACGATGGTTCTGCATTTTCGTAAATGCCCTTATAGCTGGGGCAATGTTGTCCCGGCCTCCGCAAAGCTCGCAGATTGCCACGGCTTCACGTTGTAGTTCCCTCACATAAGTGAGACCAATCTGAAGGCTCTCGATATATTTACGTTTCACTTTTGCTGCCCAAATGGATCTTCGGGCGTCTATTGGAAACGGGAACTGACAAAAACCTTGCTCAAACCGGTAAGAGCGTTTCACGCAGCATAGAGCTGTATTATTGCTCTACAAGAAGCACGGAAAAGCTACTTCATGTCCTTTGCATGGACTAGGCCCTTACGGGAACTCCATATTCAGATTTCGTGCGAATTATCAAATATGGCCATACAGGGGTGCTTAGCTCGGAATGTGCATGGTACAAATAGGGTACATCGGAGTCCACCGTGGGTGGGTTTAAGCACGACTCAGAGTGTTTCTTCCGCCTACTAAGTATTTTCGCTTAGGGAGCTGGGAATCTCTCGTTTCGAGCTACGATGGCCCTGCGATTATCTTGCGTGGGTTGCTGAAACCTTCGGATGATTTGCCAGAAAAACCTTTGAAGCAATGCGGAAGTCGGAATCCTTGAGCTTGCCATATTTCCTCTCTGCCTCTTGTGTCGATTCAAGAACAGAAAGCTATTTCATTCCAAACCTCGTCAGAGTGTCATCATTCCACACGCCCGCCATGGGCATATGGAATGATGACACTCACGAGATTGAGAGGTGCACTTGTTCACTCCGAAAGTAAAAAATAAGAGAGAACCCGGGAATGCATGAACTGCATGGTTCAGACATAACCAGTTTCCCTGCCTCCCGGGAAAAAAACCTACCTATATGCTGGTCCGGTTTTTGCCCGGCACCCCGAGTCGCGGAGGTAGGCCGTTCAGGCACCATTCCTGTGGATTTCCTGGCTTTCCAGGCAAGCTGGGTCGTGCCTGAACGAGGCACTTATCGCTGTCCTGTATTGATAGCATCACCTTCCACCTCGAGGAGATGCTAGTGCTAAGAAAGCCTCGGCAAGTTCCTACTCATACTGAACAACCACTGGATCCTGGACGCAGTATTCACGTGTGCAGCAGCAAACCAGTAACAGAAAGCAAAAGTGCACGTTGGTTCAATGTTTTCTCAGAAATAGGAGTGGTTTCTATTCAATTTATCATGCTGCAAAGCACAATTTTTTAGCTGGTTCAATCTGCATTGCTGAATTGCAGTCCAGCATCAGTTGGCCATACTGCCTGGAAATTTTCAGTACCACATGCAGTTATAGCATCCAATATGGCTTGCTGCACAAGTATGAACTACGCACATGAATTATTTCAGGATCTTTCCTCTCTAGCGAGGGAAACATAAACAAATAAGATCATGGGGGGGGGGGGGGGGGGGGGGGGAGGGGGGGGG